CAGAGGCCACATTTTGCTTAGCAAAATATATTATTCATAAGCAAAGATATACTTAGATGTGCAGTAAACAGAGCACCAATTAACACCACAGTTGGTTTACAAAGTATTTTTTGTTTGTTTGTTTGTTTTCATAAGGTTTTCTGACAGATTTCTAAAGGGCATTATTTCCCCCAAAGTATCTTCCCGTTTGGTAATGAGATTCAGTGTTTCTTGTGTCAGGAACAAAATACTTACACAGATCAGGAAATGTAAATACCGCACCCTCCCCATTACTATATCTGTGACCTCTCAAATAGGGAGAAAATAATCTCTAATAAAATGTCAAGCTCTCTAATGAGGAACTTCTCATGACAGTCTCCTCATTAGAGAAAGAAGTGGAGACTCTAACGATGAGTGAAATGGCCCACCTTGCACTACGTGTAGTTTGTCTAAGTCACAAGGTGGACATGGGCTCCTGAGCAGCTTACTGTCATTTGGATGGCTTAGCCTTGGTGATAATGGTATGTTATCATGTTCTTGACCCACAGAAGTATAGGATAATTCAACTTTAACCTACAGCAAAAGATAGTTAGGGTTTATCTGCTTTGAGAGTACAGCCACACCAGCTACTGCCTCTCACCCAACTTGCAGTAACCTGTCAAGTTCTGCCCATTTGATCATGAGTCTCAGCCCTTGATTTTTTGGTGCCTTACTACTTCTTACACCTCCTACAAACACTAAGTTTCTCATCATTAAATTATTTACTTAACACCCTGCCCAGTTTTTCTTAGTGCTAGGTTTTTAATTTCACAGCACTTGTGTTCATTCAGTCCCGACAATGTGAACTATTGAGGAAATCACAGCAGCAGCCAGTTTGTGGTATAATGTTTTGCTGCAGAGAGTAGTGCATACGTGCTGCTAGGGAAAAATTGTATTAACTCTCACTTTGAGATCTTGTTTTTTACATACACAAGCGTTTTTGTAGTGAATCTGCAGCTTCTGTTGGCACGTGAGTAGAAAATGGAATACAACAAGTTGCTGATTCTTATTCAAATTATGCTCAGTTTGCTGCTAGAAAGTCTGGTTTATGTTACTGCAGCAAATTACAGGATGTCAGTAACCTTTATGTTCTCAATTTGGACGGATAACCTTGCACTGAGTAAGCTAGAAGGAGCTTGTGTTAAAATTTACAAGCGGAAGAATAATCCAGTAGAGAACATGAAAGGATGTTTTCTCCTTCTTTATTGACACAATTTTGTTAAATAGAAAAGAAAACTTTAAAAGCTAGACAAAATATATTAATCTTGTGGAATGCAGAAGGATATCTACTGTGCTCTTAGGCAAATGTTACCCCAGCTTTCAGAAGATCAAGAAATGTGTTATTTCAGTGTTAGGAGGGGAAGTGACAACTACAGGCACTGCGTATTTGCATCTGACTTACTCCCATGTCATCACCATGAAATGATGAAATGTGCACCTTACAGCTTATAGTGATAGCACACTTGGAGTCCAGTGAACAATGTTAGCAGTTCTTGAACAAATATTTTCTCCTCCAGAAACTCTTGCAATTGTCCTGCAACTGTCTCAGTCCTCTCAAACACTTTTAGAGTGTGATGCAAAGCCCAGAGAAATGAATAGTAAAATACTTTCAACATCCCAGTTACTTACACCTGAAAAACTGTTATACACAAAAAAGTTGTGCCAGCATGTGCTGGAATGAAAATTTAAAATAATATATTTTAATTGCATTTTTTTACTAAAAAGGCAGGGATTGAAAGTTAATTTTGTAATATTTGCTGTATGTATATCTCCCTCAGCTCTGCAGCAGAAGGTGGAACCCAATTCATAGTGCTTACTTTTAAAGAGCAGGGGCTTAGGATCTACCGCTACTGGTTTATGAAATATGAAGGTGCCTATTTTCCCCTTCTTTTTGACATGTATTGCAGTTATTTATGACTAACATATACTGTCAGTTGAACTTCCCACAATGGTGTTCTGCAACTTTACCACTCGAGCTAAAATGTTTCTTTATATCATGCAGTCAGTCTTTTGGTCTTTTTTCTAGTGTGACACATTTCTGTTTTGAGGAGAAAAAAGGTAAGGAAAGAAATTATTTTTATTTCTTCTTGTTTGTGGTTTGCTTGTCAGTACCACAAATGGTACAAAAGACTCTGCAAAGCTACAGGAGGTAGGTGTCAGACACCATAGAGATCTGGTATTAATTCTTTTTTCTTCCTTTTCTTTATGACCAAGGGAGGAATTTTAGGGTTTTGTGTTAGTTCAAAAATCTACCTATCCCTCAAGGCCTGTTTAAGATGTGAGCTGATGGATAACCTGCAATGATAAAAAAAATAAAAATGTTCAAGGCAATGCTTCCACTGTATATAAACATTTGCTACTGACCTTGATAGGTAAAGTTAATCTTGGGTGTAACAAAAGCATGTCATCTTGCCTATTGATAAAGACTACCATGCCGCAGGACGTTCCTTTTGCAGTGAGCAGGCTCTGAAAAGCAGTTATTTCTCTGAAGATTAGGGGATACAAACACAATGAGAAGGGAAGCACAGAATTGTTCTCAGGTGCAACTCCTGCTGCTGCAACTCATTGTGCCTTGTCTCTCCAAAACTTTGTTAAGAGCAATTATATCTTTTGAAGTAGGTGGCTAGAGAAACCGCGCTCCCTAAAGGTTCCCCAAAGATTCACCATCTGTCAAAAGTGAGCCATTCTGCCACCTTTATAATTAGCATTTACTGGTACCTCACACCTACGTTCTCACACCTACTGTAACATACTGTTCTTGAGAATAAGCGTATTGCCACAATCTTATGCCGACTCTTCTTCTACGGCATTGCTATTATGTATCGTTATAAACCAAGACAAAACGCAAATGTTTACTCTAGGAAAAAATCATAATGACATCCCAGAGGAGCACATGAGTAAACACATTTCATTGTTGCTTTTTTCCAACCAGGTCCCTGCAAGAGTTTTCAGAAAGTCCGGTTATGTCAAGATGCAACAGTCTCAGCTCTTCCCACTCGCTCACTGGTGCACCCCAGAGGTTAGTTATTTCCATGTATTTCCAGCTAGGAATACAAGTAATTAGCCCATTTAGAGATCAATAAATGAGAGTAAAACTTCGAATAAGCAGTTGAAGGTCTTAGTTTGTAAAAGGCATCTCCTCATTTATTTTAACAAGATCAAAATGACCACCTTGGTAACAGGTGTCTGATCTCAACTGCATTTGTACCACTAAAAAAAGAAACTTACCTGAAACTGCAGTGGGTTTTGAATCCACTGGAAGGTAAAAGGCTGCGAGGTCTCATGGCAGCTGCAGCATGCCTTGTCTGTATTGCGTCTGGAGACAACTGAGCCTGCAGAGCTGTGAACCTACACCTTTTATTAATGTTCCTTTTGCTAAGCTATCTAGATCCCATGCCACCAAATTCCTCTGGGGGGAGGAACGTGTGTGTTAATCTCTTAGCAATATGACCAATAATGACTACTTTCACTTGGGCAGTAGTCTCCACAAGCGGGGAGAAGAAGGGAAGAGAATTATTTAACAAAAACTAGACCATATGATAGTTACTGCAAGGGAAAAGTGGTACCAAGACAGTGGTATAAATAATCCTGATGTTTCATCACAGCATCACTGAATGGCTGGCGCTCTGGGAAAAGGATCCGGTGGAGATACTTCTTGATTTGGGGTTTGGTACAGAAGAACCTGATGTCTGCACTAAAATCCCTCCTCGGTTCCTCAGTGGTGCTTCTGTAGCAAAAGGGATCAACATCCGAGTGTTTTTGGAAGCTCAGAAGCAGCGTATGGACACTGAGAGACCAAACTTATATGGTAAGGAAAGATATTTTGAGAAAAGGAGGAATTTTAGCCAGGAAGTAAAATAAATAGCAGCGGGGACTGAGAACATAGGGAAGAGGAGGCTTACAAAACAAAATACATGAAAAAGGGACATACACTCAGGAGATATCAAAGATCCTCATGTACACTGTTGTGGCAATGATACTTCCTAATGTGACTGAAATACAGTCCTCAGCTGTGGACTCTGATTTATGTGCTTTATGATTTACCAGCTTATGGCATTTTAAAACATAACTGCCCATCCCTTCACTGTAAGACCTACCCCACTACCAGAGATGGCCATTAGTGTCACAGAGGCTGCACCATTGAACATGGGTCCATTGCCCCAGCCACTTCACCAGCACCACGTACCCACCATCATTGGTGGTGTAAGCCAATAAATAGGATTTTAAATTCAACCAGGCCAGATGTGGGCTCACATTCCCTTTTCCCCTTTGTGAAAGCAGGACCACTTTCACAGGGAAATGTGGCAAGCAGACGATAAGGTCTTAACTTCCCATGACTAGAGCTGCCAGAGCTTGTGCACCAGACTCAAAAATCCCTAAATAAAGCCTAGCGGTTTTGTGGTTCAAATATGCCCTAGGATGTAGATGAGGATTGTATTTTAAGTACAATAAAATCACACCATTTAAGGCACACAGTCTTGACTTTTTATTCCTTTAGATGGTTTTAGTTCTCATGTTGTGTATTTTGCAGTTGAGAAATGCATACAAGGTCCTTACCCTAAAGATATATCTGCATTAAAATAGCATTGTTAATTTGCTGGTATATCACCCATCTGAAAAGTCCAATTTGGACATCATTTCCCCTCATGTTTGCTGCACAGGATAGCCAGATGGCTCTTGAAATCTTCTGTTTACTTAAGATGCTCAGCGAAGCAGGATCTCTCACATAGCCCGTGTATTCCCGTTTAGAATTACACCAAGGAAGCAGTATGGATGGAATGAGAATTGAAACAGAAATGTCAGAGCATTGTGAAAAATGTGTTTTTCTCCCTCTCTCTTTTTTTTATAGCAAGCCCCGTGCACACATTTCAATATTTACAGCAAACTGACACATCAAACAGGTTTCTCAGCTCTCACTTTCTTTCTCTCTCTGTAACTCTTCTGAGAGGGAGAGAGGGATCGGAGATAATCAGTATGAGCGGATGGTGGATGGAGACCTCAGGGAAGAGGTAGAGAACCAGAAGCGAGTGAGAGAAGAGAAAGAGCCTCTGAGGGAAGGAGATTGCACAGCGAAGGCAGGCAGTGGTAAGCCAAGGTGTGAATTTAATGACTTGTCCTGCAGTCATCCTCAATGGGAGCACTCTTAGTACATGTTAATGGCTTATCTGTACGGGGGAGTTGCTGTGAAGTAAGATAAGATTTGAATTTCTGGTTTTGGTGGGTGTGATGTCCATCAAAACATATTATCTTGCTTTTGACAGTTTGGGAGGGGGTTTTCACACCATCTGCTTAGACGTCCTAAGTATGTGCCAGGGCTGGGAACGTTTAATCGAGAGAGGTGGGATTCATCCTTCAGAGATACTTACCTCTTCTCTTTTCACTGACTACATGTTTCCATATAAGCGATGACTAACCTTAGCTGGTTCATTGCACCAAATTGTAGGCATTTAGCTGAAGCACAGTCTCAAGGAGCTTAATAACTGTAGAGTCATTTTATCTCCACAGCAAGTGGAGAGAGTCAGGCAACTCCTGAGGGTGATCATCCAGCCACCACTTAAAGCACCTCTCAGAAGAAGCCAGTCTGTCTCGGTGACCATGTGGGTAATCTTGCACAAGTACCTTCCTACAGCTGATGTTCCAGGAGAGGACTTAGAGTTAGAAAGGGTTGTATTGGGTTTAGAGTACAAACACCTGAGGAATATCCTCAAATAGCATTTGTTTGCAAACTGTTTTTTTTCCAATCTTGACAACCTTAGGTTGTCTAATGATTTTGCAGTGAGGTATGGCAAGAAGACGGAGTGGCAAATTCATGTTTATTATATTTTAAAATGGATTGCATCTCTAGAGTGGGAGCGAATCTATCTGCCTTCAGTACCAATACTGCACCTAAATTTTCAGGCATCTAAAACCCACCTCTTCTGACGCAGAAGCTGACGTTCCCTGTAATGGCAATAAGGAGAATAGGTGCTTTTGAAGGCCTGCAGAAGAAGACCCAGAAAAGGACCTTTCTCTGTAAATTAAGTAGAAGGTTCAGGTCTAGAGGTGTTCCACAGCATTTACCTCTCCATGAACAATTTAGGGAACTCCAGACTCCTTACTGTCAGAGGGCTGTTTCACCAGGGCATTGAACTGAAAGTGCCAAAAGGAGGCAGACCATGTGGCACCTCTAGACGTCTCAGGACTGTATCGAACCACTGTTCCCAGAGACCTGCTGGATGAATTCAGTTATTGTCACCCTGGTTGGTTTATTATCACTGAACCATTTCAATGCAAACACAGTCTGAATCCCTCTCATTTGTCTGTAACCATGGAAAAGGAAGAAATTGTTTAATCTGAGTCAGTGAAAGCCTGAGAGGTTATCTGATCATCAGTTTACTTTCTCTTATTCCCTGAATCAGCAGAGAAAGATAATTGATTTAATACGACCTGTGTTACCCCGAGAAAGTGAGAGATAAGGAGAAAGATTATAGGTACAATATGGAAGACAAGAAACCTGGAGGAAAAAAAAGGAGAGGGAGGTGAGAGACACCAAGGACTTTCATAGCAGAGTGATGCCTCTCCACTTTCATATTGCATTCATTTCTTAGCGCAACCTTTTCTGTTTCTGTCTGGCCCTTCCCTGGCTGTGATGAATATAGTTTTCTAGGCCTCCTTCACTGCTTAGACCTTTTACATTATGTTGTTATAGAGTTAGTTATTAATTGTCCCCTCACATGATACTGTTTCCCCAGTATTGTCAGACAGAGTTTTCAAAAGATTCTGCTCATAGAAATAAGGTGTATTTTCAAAAATGTCAGTCACCCTTTCAGTTTCTCAGACAGATCCAAAAGAAAAGCTTACCCCCATCATTCACCAGTGGTGAAAATTTTACTGACCTCATTAGAAGTAATATTTGACTTTCTAACTAAAGAAATAAAGTCACTTGAAAATGAGAAATTATCCTAAGTGAAAAGTAATTCTATTTCTGAATGTGTTGATCCCAAAATTCTTTGAAAACTTCAAGTTTCTGGACATCTTAGTTCAGAAAAGTTGAAATGTTTCAATCTCATGCTTAACAATAATAAAAAAACCACTGCCATGTTTTAGTATCAGCTATCCATACTGTCAGATCTAAACCTCCTTGGGGTCTGTGTTTTTGTTTCTGGGGATTTATCACTCTCATTTCTGTCTGTCTCAGCTGTTGCAAGCACCCTCACTGGAGATAAGTGTATTAGGTAGACACCATTTTACATGATACGTGGTTATCCTGTGACCACCACAGGTCAGCTAGGAGAAAGGTGCATGCATCCTTGAAGATATATATCAGCCAGTAAATCCACCCCTGGAAGAGAATTAGAATGCAAATTGCTAAATACCTTCTCTGAAGTACAGCTTCAATTCAAGCAAAGGCAGCATTGCCAAGTGACTCTTGACAAGTGACTGACTTGACATCTAGTCAAGATGAAACAATCTAAAAAAAGGAAAATATTTTAATATATGACAAAGTAGACAATGCTGAAATTACATTTTTACTTTTCCTGAGAAAGACTGAGCAATTTCAGATGTCTCGATTTTCCCACTGAAATTTTTGATTTTTTTTTTTCCAAATTCTGCCATTTGCTGTGGAAAAAAAAAAAAAAAAAAGTCGATTTAAAATTTCTTGCTGGCTCTGGAAATGTTCTGTGTTCCTTCATTCTACTGTGTGCCTGCTGAAGGCTTTCCAAATGTTTCATGTAGATAACTATGTCAGCCTATGTAATACCAGATTTAAGGAAGGAGGAACAAAACTGTGGGCTTCCCCTCCTAAATTATAAAATGATTGATCGTAGAGTCATTAGAAGCCCTGTGAAAAATACAGATTCTATTGAAGACTCCTTGGTCTTGTATACAGTACAGCCATTTGCTGTTTCAGCTGAAGTTTCCAGTGAAAATGAATCCCTGTTTATGTCCTTTAATATCTCACCTGTACTACAGATTTAGACTATTTTGCAGCAGGCTGCAGGGACTAAGGAGATCTTATCAGCCTCTTGCCTATTTGAGGCGTGATCCTTGGGGAGCACCCCTAGAAACTGAAGGGACTGCTCGCCTGGACAGAAATAGTCCATGAAGCAAGGCTGTCCCTGACATAATTTCTTCATGACCTGTGTATCTATTACATTGCACATTAGCAAGGGGATTTTTTATGTTGTTCATTTGTCATTTCTCTTGTTGTTTGATTTGTTCTTTAGGTGTCCAAAGCTCTTTGAAATAATGTACAAAAGCTAAGCAGTGTGTAAAAATTATTTCAAATTGCAGTAAATTTGGTTCTGGTTCAACTCAAAAGAAGGACTGGACTGCTGTGCTACTGTCAGTCAAAGGACATTAACACTTGTCATTTTTATAGCTTGACGTAGTGCAAGCCAGATTAAATACTGAGGATAAAATATGCTTTATGTGGAGAGAATGTGGTAGCACAGTGGATACACAAAACCAAAAATTATTTACTCTGACATCCCAAACTTATGCAAATGGAAACTATGCAACAGTCTGTAATCTGTGTAGTGATAGATCAAATAACTCCTTTAACTGTCAGGTGAAACCTTTGACCATGTCTTTTTAAGACATGCCACGTTTTACGTGGCAGCAATGGCAATGTTTTCCTCCAGTATTAAAAATTAAGCAATGTCTGGGGCAAAGAAGAGAAGTAATATTCTTGAGACATAGTAACTATCAGGAATTATATGTCACGGTCCTCGATGCAAAGGACCAACTCAGATCCATGTTAAATATCCCCTTGTTGTCTAATTGTGAATGGAGCGGCATGCAGACTGCATGCAGTAAATTTGGCTGCTCTTTAAGAGACTCAGCAGCCAAGAAAGTTAGCATTTTGCTGTCTACTGTCCTCAATGAATCTCTCAAGGAGGGAGGAGTCCTGGTGACATATTCATTGCCTCAGGATAGGTACAGACACAACGAGCAAGCAAATGTGTTGTGTTTCTTTGTATAAATAACTTCATAGTGTTGTAGTGATGGAAATCTCTAGGATCCCTTATAGAAAACATTATCCGCTTCTCTTTAGATGTTATGCCATGGAAAAAATGACCCATAAATTACAGGAGGTTAGTACAATGAAAAAAATCTAGGAACCTTTATACAACATCAGCTGTGAGTTTCTCAGGGATACGTGTTTTGCTTTGTGCTGCTATGAAAATGAGAATATAGCTTCCGTGATCAATTTTTATCGATTAATGGCTATATGCATTTTGCAGTTTTCCTGGACAGCTGCCAGCCATAAACATTTGAGATCACATTTTAATAACTTTATTCACATGAATTTTAATAAGTCCTCAAAAATGGCAGCCAAGTCTGGCCCAGCCAACCAGAGAATTTCAGGCTGGATTCTGTAACCTTTAATCACACAGGGCAGCATTCAGCTGCACTTGACCCAATGAATTCAACATTAAGTAAGTGTTTGTCTAATATAAAGAACTATGCAATGACGTCTGTATGTAGCCTGAATGGATCCTCTGGAAGCAAATGGAAAAATTTAGCCACTTTTGAATGCGGTACTTAGTATGTTTCTTGGCAATGACAAGTTTGAATAGTCATTGTACCTTATTATTTCAAATCATAATTTTTAATAACCATGTTGCCTTCCATTCTGCCAAACTTAAGAACGTTTTCGACAGCTGGAAGTACTTGACCACGTAACCAGTGCCCTCTCATCTTTGCTGACCGATGTCAACACCCAACAGATCAAAGCACAGGATGCCGGCAGGGATGAGACCAGTCTCTTGGATGCTGCGAAGAGCAGACCTGCGGTCACACAAGTGAAGCGGAAAAGAATCAGTCAGCTCCTGAAAAGGGCTTCTCAGCAGACAACGCTGCTGAAACAGGGCTTGCTGGCACCTGAGGAAGCCAACTTGCCCAGCAGGGAAGAGCAACCCCATCCTTGTGCAGATATTGCTGAGAGGGGGACAGTCCAGGTGGACTTTTCTGCATGTGTTACATTGGGCTGTCTGACCCAGCAGCAAACCCCAAGATGCCAAGGTGCCTCGGCATATCCCGCATCCCAGTGCCCACCGACTCCGCTGGGGAAAGCCTGGGCTTCTTCGCACCTGGTTGCAAAACAGCCCCACCTTTCTCCTGCGTGTGAGGTGCCTGCCAAAGACAGGTCAAGAAAGGAGCCACCTTCCCTTGTGGCCCACATGCTCAAAAAAGTGGCCAACCTAAACTGCAAGCTGCCAGAGTCATTTGAAATGGAAGAGGTGAGGTGGATTTTTGTGTATGGTGCTAGCAATGTATCTCCACCCATATTTATGGTATAAGTGTGGATTCTTTTTGTCAGGAGCTAGAGTAAATTACTTCAACAAACACCATGCAGCAGCATTATGGGGAAAACCAGTAGGATTTACACTACTCATTGGGGTTTTGATTATTTTAAATTGTCTTTGTGTTGGGATACTGTCAAAGAAGTTGGCACTGAAGTTACTGAGGTAGGATTCATTCAACCAGTATGATAGTGTAAGATGCCAAAGTGTTTTATGCAGTGCTAAGTTTTGGGTTTTTTATAGAAGGAAGTTGCAGGAACAGTAATACATATGGTAAAGGATATTTTTACAGATCCAGTCATTAACCAGGGTTGGAGGTTTTTTTCTATCTTTTTTTTCCCTTAAGCTCATTTTCTGGTGTTGTCTTTCAGAAAGTTGCGTCACAAAATTAGCCTTGGTTTTATAGCAGTGTTTGAAATATTTTATCACTCTGTAAGCTGAGCATCCTAAAACCAGAATAACTCAGAGCAGCAGCTTGTTCTCATACCCAGTTTGCAAAGTCCACGATACTCAGCTATCTGTATGTTTTAGCAACAGGGGCTTGTCAGCGGGGGTTCAACATGAAGTAGCAGAGACCAGGACCCTTTCTTACATCTAGAGCTGTTGCGTGAACAGCATTTTTTCTGGCTATACTACCGCAGAAAAATGGCAATGGCAGGATACTCTCCAATCATACAGACTCCACTGGGATGCCAACAGGAATACTCTTCCCTTTCCAGCCATCCTTCAAGAATGAGGAAAAGGAGGGAGTCCAAAAATTAGGCTCTACTGTAAGAATCAAAGAAAGAAGGAGAAATGGAATGGTTAGCGGCCTCCTGAAAATATATGGAGAACGGGAGGGAGGGAGAGAAGGAGGAAGGGAAGGAAGACAAGGAAAGGAGGAAGCAGCAAATGGCTGGAAAAGGTGGGAGGCTTAAAAAATTTTCCAGTTTCTAAAGCATTAGAAAAGGTCCAGTTAAGGTGGTGACATTATTTTTGAGGAAAGGATATTTACCTTTTGAAGTCCTTCCAAAGGTATATTTTTTTGTGAAAAGTTTGGTGCAGCCTTTGCATCAGCAGACCTGACTCAAGAATCAGAGCATGGACCTGATTATCAGCCCCGGCAGGGGACAGGGTGTCTTTCAGAGATCTCAAGCACAGCAAATTTATAATCCCAAAGTAGTCCATATGTCTTTGTAAAGCACTTAGCATGCTGGACTTGCAGCTCTGTGACTAGAGGCTCACACAAAAATGAGGATAATGACAGAACAGTAAATGCAGATGATTGTAAACTCCCCAGTTGGATGTCTAAGACAGTTTGGTGAATGCTGTATGTTCAGATTAGACAGGGTATATACTGTTTAACTTCTGAGTATTCTCTACCACATCATTAAATTAAGGCTGTAAGAGCTGTGTACTGGCTGAAACCATCAGGCAATCTAAATCATTAGTCTGGCAGTGGCCAGTAGCAGATATATGGGGAACAGAATAGCAGTCACATATAGAACAATCCTCTTGTAACTTCTACCCTTTGACAATGAGGGGATTAGATATCTCTTGAGCTACAGACTGCACGGCGGACACACCCAACGTGCATGTTCATGTGTTACTTGTATCTAATAGATCCCCTTTTCTATAAAGTCTTTTTTTGAAGGAGTTTATGCAGCATCATGAGGTAATGTTCCCCTTGATACTATGAAAAAGTCAAACGGGTCTTCATTCCTAGAGGAAAAAAAAATACGACCTTACATACACTCTTTGGCAAGAGTTTGCCTCCATATGGTTATGTTTCCTTGAGTGTCTTCTACTAAGTCATATTTTTTTCTAGGGACATTTCTCTGGGGCTGTTCAAACAAGATTGTTAGTGTAGTATGTGTTAGGAACCTTTATGTATTTATTACTTTGAGCAAGGCTTGGAAAGGTTCTGAGACTAGAGCCTAGTTTATTACAAGAACAAATATTTTTAAAAGGAGACAACCAAAAAGGAACCATCTGAAAGATTTCGTGTTTTCACTTTGCAATGTCCAGAATTCTTTTGGTTTTTGTTCCTACCTCCCTCCCCCATAAGCACTCATAATCATTACCAGCAATAATAAATTTTCCTCCTCTCTTCCTTTTCTTTTCAGATTCAGAGTTTTGAGGATGAAACTCCATGTGGAAATGCTCCTGATACCACTTCAGGTGAGTGTTCAGAAACAGACGATTTGCCATTTTTTAAAACACTGTTCCCACATAGCTGCTTCTAAAGCTTTTCCTAACAATATGTTTTCCCTCTCTGCTCCCATCACCTCTGGCATTTGGATGCATTATTGTAGACATGGCAGTCTAGATTATATGACTCAACAAATCATAGGGGTGTAAAATATACTCAGCTTGTCAGGGAGATACGAGTACACATGAAGAGGGTACCTCACAGCACAGCTTTGAGTGCATGAGGTTCCTGTCTGATGTTTTAAGTAGACCTCTCCACTCTTCCAAGCGACACCAAAACTTCACTCCTGCTCAATGAATTATTTGCCAGACTCAGACAACCCCTTATCCTCCAACTCTCAGATCCCTAGGAGAGCAGTCAGCTAGGAGACTGGAGATAGTGGCTCTGCAGCCACTCTGTACACAACTCAACCAGGACCGTGCAACCAGAACACTCTGGTGGCAGCATGGCCTCTACCCCATCATCTGAGTCTCCTATCTCACATAGGCTGTCATCACATGAGCTGACATAGCATTGAATCATGTGTTAGAAAATAAGTTATTTGAGGAGTCTATGAAAGGATTAAAAGCAAAGCTGTTAGACCAGATGTTACGCTGTCATTTGGGGCAATCTGAGTTTGGATCCTGAGAAGCGTTTGCTGGCAGGGTTGGTGGTATTGGAGAAACGGCTGTTCAGCCTTCAGAGCAGGGAGTGCTTGGCCTTGCTCTCTTGTGACCCTTTCCAACCAGTGCTTAGAGCAGGACTGGCAGTTGTTTGTGGTTTTGTTTTTTGGGTTGCTTTTTTTTTTCTTTTAAATGGGACAGAAATTTAATGTGAAAGAACTAATAAGTAGCAAGAAGCACAGATAGCAAGCGACAAAGGTGAAAGTCTGGTGAGCCCTCACCTTTTGAGGACAGCTGGATTTGCAGGTGTGAAATCATCATCCTGTTGAAGGCAGTGACATAAGTACCACGGGCTTCAGTGAGGCCAGTGTTTTCATCAAAGTGTCTGGGTTTTTCTTGGTAAATGGTAGACATGAGTAAAGGAAATGGAGTATAGGATGAGTTCCTCAGTCCTGGAGGGTTTATTTTTGTTTTCAAATTGTCTGTAAGCATACCTTTGCTATTTTGCTGGGGTGTTTTTAAGTGTGTAATAGATTGCGAACCTATAGCATTCAACTGCTCTTGCCACATCTTCTGGCAGGGTTGTAAGTGTCCAGTCTGTCAACGCGTGACTCCAGTGACTTTTGGGGCCTAATGTCAGGTCCTTGTTGCTATTCAGACTGTATGATTTGTCCTCTGAGTTACATGAGGTTTCATTGATTTTGTTATCTGATGGATGTCTTGATCTTCATGAACAAAGACGAGGCCCCATACCAGTTGTCTTACTCATAGCAGTATCTATACAAAGAATAGTAATTCCCCAGGATTGTTGCAGTAAAAAAACACCATTTGGACAAACATTCAGTGAGAAATTAAAAAAAAAAGAGATTGTGGACATAGCCCAGTGAGGAAAAAATTAAAAACATAATAACATACCCACAAATACTTTTTTCCTTGCTTTGTCCAACTCTAAAAATTGACTGTGCTATTTAACGATGAAGGGCATTAGCTAAAGGATTTAGCAGATTGTATAGGTATATCAATCACAATGTAAGGGAAAAAAATAACTGTATGCCCTGAATAATCTTTTAAGACATAGGAATAAGAATTTATTTAACAGTAATTTAATGACAGAAAATGCAGAAAGTAATTATTTGGTTTTAATTCTGGTAAGACTGTCATCTAGTTAAGTGATCAATCAAAATCATACAAGTAAACTGCACTTATGTAAGATTTATGCCTTTGCAGCAGCATAATACTATTTTAGAGTTTTGTCTAAACACTGGAATATCTCTCCCTCTTTTTTCTGTGTTGTTTTAGTGTCATTAATGCTTGGCCTAAATTTAAAGTGGAGATTTCCAGCTTTTTTTACAGGCTTCTTTCCTATTCTTTCTCTGTTTCCCACTGCTCTTAAATGGCGTACCCCTCCATACCCATGGGAGTTTTATTGCAACTTCAACTTGTTGTGCATCATGGAAACAGTCTAAAAATTGCCAGTTATGAACGTAATATTGTTAGTAGCGAATAATACTTAGCTCTTACGAAGGTTCCTACAGAATTCAGCAGAATGTGTTTCAGCCCCATAAGCAGGGGTCCTCAAAGTAGGAACGAGTGGGAAACTGAGTCTATCAGGAGCCGACACAAGGAAAACCTCAGCTCCCAGGAGAGCATGCCTGAATTTAGATTTGGCCTCCAAATTCCCCGGGGCACAGGCTGCCTATTTTTCAAGGCTCATGCAGCGCTTGATACCATCAAGGCCCACTCTCATTTGCCTGTGGGCTCTGTTGGAAAGAGAGTGAGTGATGATGAAGATGTGAGAGCCTGACATGTCCCTGCCGAAAGAGGAGCTCGCCTGAGCAGGAAAATGCGAGGTGGCCACTGTGAGAAGAAATAGAGATAGATAGGAACAGACTACTTTGCCTAGATGGAGCATATTAGAGACGGGTGACTTATGGAAGTACTCGTCCCAGTGGTATTGTCCCTTGGCTCTGTAGCCTGGCCTCAATTTTAGTCCAATTGCTTAATTTTCTACACTCCCCATGAAAGCCAATTCCCTGGCTGCTGTGTGTCTTCTTTATATTTCTCCATAATGTAGGTTCTGGCTGTTTAACTGCAGTAGGCTTTATGATAAGGCTTTTTTTCCCTCTCTCTTGGCAGAATGCTGAGACTTAATTTTAAAAGACGCTCAAACCCCCCAAACATCCCTGAATGACTTACAGGGAAAGCTGAGTGTTTTCTAGCTCTGTTTTAAAAAATATTACAATCTTTTTTATTAGGCAATTTTATCATTGTTATAAATAAGTAATTGTACTGGGGAGAAGGGATAATCCTTATTTAATTAAATTCATCTATACTCCCAGGTTGGCAGCAACCAGACATATGTGAGACTAATACCCACAGCCTGCCTGTATGCATGTGCAATTAAAAATTCACTCTACAGTAGCACTGGCAGTTTAGTGTTGCTTTTGGCATTTACAAATTCTTTTATTTTGTGACTTTTTTTTTACCATACACATATGCTGGAGCAGATGTTGCTTATTTGTTGTTTATTCAAATCTGTAGGCTCTGGCAGCTAACTCCATTGTTCTGTAATGAAGCTTTATTCACTGTCCTGTATTAGGACCCAGCAAATGCATGACAGGCAGAGTTAGCTCTCAGCAGTAACTACAGTTATTGTCCTTACTTATTGGCTGTTTATATTCTAAAGCTCACAGTTGAGAAAGCTGGCTGGGCAGGGTAAGGGGCTGGGGATGCTGTGTGCAGAGGAAAATTACTTGACTCCACTCACTGTATCTTTGCCCTGATGAGGTGCAGGCTTGCATGTAAACTCATCTGTTGCAGGGATTTCATATTCAGCATTTGAAAAATAGAGCTGTTCTCCTCCCCCCTCCACCCCCCTTCAGCCTTG